GGGTGTCGACTTATTTGAGACCAAACGGCAGAGTTTTCTCTTTATTTAAAACATTTTATTCAATAATAGCGGAAAAATAATCATCGCGCGTAGGCTGTGCGAGAGTATTTGAAAGATCGTTGTTAACATCATCTTTGCGCGAAAAAAAACAGCTGGAGTACTATAAGTACCTAACGGAAATATGCAACCGCTATGTCAGGGTAGTGTGTTCTGAAGTTAGCCAAGTCTGCGCACAGCGGGCAGCATTCGGCTGTTAAATGTGTTTTTGTAATCCTCACCTCGGCAGCAACGATACAAATTGTCCCAAACGATTTCGATGATCGACCTTGTCGTATTGGCTTAATAGTTGTGCTATGTAATCCGCGTCTACACTCTCTACGCTTACTTTTGGTGCCATATATGATATGTCGATACAAGCAGAAACCGGCAGATTCGGTAGTGATGATGATTTGGGTTTTGGGGTGCGCCGGCTGTTTTGTCATGCGGCGCCCATAGACTTGGCAGGTTCATACGGATGAATTTCCATGGTGAACCAATGCATTCCCGCGCACATTGTTGCAGTTTTTAGGAAGCATCGGGTAAGTTTATCAATGCGCAAGCACATGCAATCATACGCAAGCACATGGGTTTTGGCGAGGCAGACAGTCCATCTGGTAACAGGTTGAAAGCTCGCGTATTCCCACAGTAGCGATTAAATGGTGTAATTGTTACTTGTCAAGTCAAAATAATCGCAGGCATATCTATATCTATGGCGTGCGCACCCGCTGACACTTTCGCAAAAACTGTTCGCTCTTGCAATAGTGTAAAACCTCGCCGCGTTTTACGCCACAGAAACATAATGTTACGAAGGACGCTGTGCTATTGCGGACCGTGTAGTTTGAAAACATTAGGTATCAGCTGTACCATGTTACAACATGTCCCGCTGGACGGTGGAAAATGCATCGCCTTGGCCTGTTAATTGTGAGTGCCGCTCTGGTAAGCAACGAAAAATGCATTATGTCACCGGTCAGCCTTTATGTAACGGGTCAGCCTTTATGTAACGGGTCAGCCTTTATGTAACACAGATCACAGTTTGTACTCTTTGCACCCGTCCTCGGCTTTGCTGCGGAGTGAGGGTGCTTAGCGTGCTCGACCGGTATCTGGTCGCCGTAGCATGCCGACTGTACCCTGGGTCAATCTTGAGAGCTGTTGAGGGAGGTGGGTGTTTTCATCACTCAAAAGCTCCTTGTTGAGTGTCTGTGTCATTTGCCTCGTTGATACGAGTGGTGTTTGCGCCGATACCGTGCTGGCGCGGCCTTCAGCCGCAATTTGCCGCTCTCACGCTCTAACTACGCCATTTTCAGATGATCATTTAAGCTTGCAAAATGTAACTGCCGGGTGTTTAAATGGAATATTCCACCTTTCTTGCACCTTTCACGCGTGGTGAGATCACACGGATGCAATATGATAAGAAATATCAGTATTTTCGAAATTTTGGAAAGTTGAGAAATTCGATTTGAATTAGGCGCTTTGACGGGAAAGATCTCATTTGGGTTCTCTCCTCACCACGACTCGGTCTGTCTTGGACTACTCAAGTTCGTCTCGACGGTGCCCCGGCGTCTTCTTAAGAGGCTCTGGGTAGCGTCCACCACGCGTGTGTCCGTATTGCTATTGGAGCTTTCCGCACAACCCGCACGAAAAGCCTGCTGATAAAAGCAAACGAACAGCCACTTCATCTTCGCAGAGGAAAACTTCCCTGAATTATGCTATCTAGGCGCCGCAAGCTCCTTGCCACCCAGCATACCCCGCACTTTTTTCGCACACGTTGACTCGGTCGTTCTTGAAAGGACTGACGCCCCCATCAAAACCCACGTGCTTGCGGTGGTGAGATTGTTTGGGTGGCGAGATTGTTTGGGTGAGGCAGGCGTCCACCTCGACGAAGGACCATGAACGCCACAGTGGTGAACGCCGCCTTCCGTGCGCTAGAATCGCCCAACGCCTCAAAAATGCGTGTAGTCCATGCACGGCATGGCAGATGGGATACTAAGGGCGCGTTCAGCGGAGGGAAAATTTTCAGCGAATTATTATCTCTCCGATGGTCATCCACGAATATGCTCCATTTGCGACCAGTGAGCCCGAAAATTACTCCTCAGTTTTGTTGCCCAAGCGCCATGCAGAGGCTACGGTTATAGCAGTGTATGGCGAAAGAAGAGTTTTCCACCGTGACAATGCTCCGAAAAATTTCCTAGATTCCCCGGCGCGAATGATTATCTGCGATGGTGCTCGGTGTGGCAGTCCCGAACGCGATTCCGGAGAATTTTCCAACATTCTGGATAACTGTCCGAGATTATCTGCGAGCCGAACGCGCCCTTAAGGAAGACAGAAGTCGAGCGGGGGTCTGGAATGCTCTCAGCATGGGCGATATGTACCCCGGATCTTAAGAACAGCCAGAAAACCGCAGCCACGTGACCTGTGTCAGTGGCTGGCTGGGTAATTTCCGAATGGATGGCTAAGCACAGGATGACGGGAAAAGCGCATTACTAACGGCCGAGGGACTGACTCTCAAATGGATGAGGGCTGGATTATTGTGATGTGATGCACGTCATTTGACTGACTCACTGTGGATCGATGCGCAACACATACTGCGTCCTAGTTTTTGTCTGTCGCCAGCGAGATGAGCAGTTGCATGCGTCTTCGGCAGCCGAGAGCAGGGGCTGTGTGCGTGTGCGTGTGCGTGTGCGTGAGAGCGGTACCTGAGAACGCCTGCTGCCCCGCAGGTGAGCGTGGTGGGGAAGCAGGAAGGTGACGCGCTGGTGCCATACCACACCTCCAACGGGCATCGGCTGCTGCTGCTCCAGCCAGGCCGCCGCAGCCACCAGGACATCTTCTCGGACGAGCTGGCGCAAAACCGCGCGCTCACCTGGTGGCTGCGCGGCGGCGGCTGGCTGCTGTGCTTTGTCGGCCTCAGCTGCCTCACCAACATCCTGAACGTGCTGGGTCAGTGTTCCACTGTTGTGCTGTGCCGTCCGCTGTCTCACTCTCTTCGGCCTCGGTTTCCCGACGAGCATCCCGGACGGCAATGCTTTGCTTTTCACACGAGCCGGTTTCCTTGACACCCACACTCTTTTGTTTTCTTGAACGGGCTCAGCCGTTCCCATGCTTCCCCGTCTTTCCATCTCAGTGTGTTTGATGTATTCCGTGTGCTTATGGATGACCCCTGGTATGTTAAAGGTTATGTTCGTTCATGCCATGCGTACATGTGATGTGTATTACTGTTTTCACTGAAGAATGTCAACCTCATTGAACATAAATGTTGTACCCACTATTATAGTGGGCCGGTTGCCTTACTCTCGTGCTGCCTGTGCTCCAGTGAGCCGGCTCCCCTGATTCCTGTGCTGGCCCGATGCCGCTGAGGGATTCCCTGGACTCCGATACCGCTGGGGACTCCCCTGAATTTTGTGCTGGCCCGATGTCGCCCGGGGGATTCCCCGACTCCAGCGATCCTGTGCTCTGGCGAGCCGGTTCGGCTTCCTCCCATGCTTTCCGTGTGTTGGCCAGGTCCCCTGACTTTTGCTTTTGCGTCGTTCTAGTCAGCGATGATGCCCTGGAATCATTTTCCCCTTCTCGTGGTTCTTCTGAGTTGCACTTTCCCTTTTCCAGTGAGTTCCGACCCCCCCCCCCCCCCCCCCCCGGTCCATTCCTATGCTTCCAGCATTTCATTAGGCCAGTTAACCCGAATCATGCCCTCGCGTGCTCCTCTCGCCCCCTTTGCTGCTTTGTTCCAGCGGGCGAGACCACCTGACCATGCCCCTCCCCCGCCGTCAGACTCCAGGGCCGTGGTCTCTAACTCTCCCTCACTCCGTGTTTCATTGAGCCGGCTCGTTGACCCATGCTTCAATGTTCCTGTGGGCCTCGCCCTTGACTCATGTTTTGCTCTACTGTTATGTTCCTCCTCTGTTCCAGTAAATGTTGTCCTGCGGGGAGCAATCTGCATGTTCTCCTTGTGCCAGTGAGCCGGTCTCTCTGATTCCGTTGCTTCCATCCCATCATGTTCCAATGTTCCGTTTCCCCTGATTCCCGCACTCCCGCGTCCCGGTGAGTCGGTGCCGTGACTTCCGTGTCCCGTGTCCCCAGTGTTCCGTTCCCCAGACTCCCTCACTCCCACGTCTCGGTGCGTCGGTGCCGTGACTTCCGTATCCCGTGTCCCCAGTGTTCCGTTCCCCAGACTCCCTCACTCCCATGTCTCAGTCGGTGCCGTGACTTCCGTGTCCCGTGTCCCCAGTGTTCCCAGACTCCCTCACTACCGCGTCCCGGTGAGTCGGTACCGTGACTTCCGTGTCCCGTGTCCCAGTGTTCCGTTCCCCAGACTCCCTCACTCCCGCGTCCCGGTGAGTCGGTGCCGTGACTTCCGTGTCCCGTGTCCCCAGTGTTCCGTTCCCCAGACTCCCTCATTCCCGCGTCCCGGTGAGTCGGTGCCGTGACTTCCGTGTCCCGTGTCCCCAGTGTTCCGTTCCCCAGACTCCCCTCACTCCGGCGTCCCGGTGAGTCGGTGCCGTGACTTCCGTGTCCCGTGTCCCCAGTGTTCCCAGACTCCCTCAGTCCCGCGTCCCGGTGAGTCGGCGCCGTGACTTCCGTGTCCCGTGTCCCCAGTGTTCCGTTCCCCAGACTCCCTCACTCCCGCGTCCCGGTGAGTCGGTACCGTGACTTCCGTGTCCCGTGTCCCCAGTGTTCCGTTCCCCAGCTCCCTCACTCCCATGTCTCGGTGAGTCGGTGCCGTGACTTCCGCGCCCGTCTGCCCCCAGTGAGCCGGTTCCCTGTGGTGCGGGACGTGGTGGCACTGGGTGTCAACGTCACTCAACGCTAGCGTCTCGGTGGCCGTTTCGCTGGCGGCCGTGCGCTCAGCTGGCTCTGGTACCGGCCGCTGCTGGGCGGCGCCCTGCTGCTGGCCGCCGCGCTGCCCGTCTGGTGGCGTGCGCGCTGGGCGCCGGCCGACCAGTGGGAGAGCCGCGAGCCGCGCCTCACCGTCACGCGGCCGCGCGGCATGTACCGCTCCCAGCCGCCGCCCTACGGCTTCCGGACACCCTCCTGATGGCCGAGACCGTGGGCAAGAGGGATGCGGCGCGTGTCGCGAGTCACGCTGGCCCACAGGCCGCTATTATGACGGGTTCCGGTGTCTGGGTCGTGCCCAGGAAACGCCGAGCTGTTGTTGTGCGGGTTCGTTCGTTCCGTAATGCGGGCATTTCCTTGTTTATGCGCACAGCGTACTTGTGAAGGTCGTTTGCGTAGTGTTGCCGGTGCACGGTAGTGGAGCTCGTGAAGATAAATGCGAAGGACTCGGTTCGCGATTTCGCTGTGATTCAGTCTGTTTCATTCGTATACAGCGCCAGCGAGTTTCTTAGGCCCCAGCTGCCACGTGCGTTGTGTCATCAGGTTACCAGACCCTGACTTTTTTGTCTGCTTGAATCAGAGATGTGTTTATGTCGTCTGGCGTTATATACATACGTTGGCATGCTCGTTAGGTGAAGCGAATAAGTGCCAAGGGTGTTATTCGATTCTATACATGATATGTATACGTGGTACTTCGTCATTACAAATGGTTTTGTAGTCTGTTTTATAAGGAATGAGTGGCTACGAGACTAACGACCTTTGTGTTCACATTATTCACGTTTCAGATTTTAGGACAATGCCATAGCAACTGCATTTTAACGGCAGACGGTCTATTGGGTAGTCAAGCGTTGGGTTGAAGTTGAATGTGTATATCCATTTCAACAAGGAGTCGCTGGGGCAACGGCGGCGACGTATCCGCGACACCTGCCGTTTCAAGGGGATCTTCCACGTTTGAAGTTAAGCAAGCGTCAGGTATGAAAAGGGTCTCACCTATAATTTCGTATTTATAGCTATTGGTTTACTTTAAGTTGGAAAAGACTGCTCTAGGCAACATAATTTATTTGGCGAGTATGCTATTCAACACGTAATTGCTTCATCGCGTCACTGAACCTTGCGCAGCATTAATTGAGAGCTAATTGGGGGACGTAATAGTTGGAAGTCGTGCTGATGAACGACTCGGCAATCATATTTGTACTGTTGATCGCTACATGGCAAATGAAAGTAGGACATGAATGACGTTATGGAGGCATCGTGGATGCATGGGTTAACTTGAAATAGTTTGCACGAAAAAGTTCCCGCATCTTCGCGGGGCGTAGTTCAGAAACTAGGGGGGCGGGGGTGGTAGGTTGGAAAAAGGCAGGGCCGTGAACTGCGCCGAATGATGAAGATGGCTAGTTCAGTTCAAAAGCCCACACAAATGTAGAGCACTCCCCTGAACGTCTCCTCCCGGTTAGGAATCAGTTCAATGATTGCGCGTGGGAACGGGTTGTAAGTGGGTGCCATGACCCCCGCCTTCCCCAAATGCTGAGCGCCGGTTAGCCCTATGGCGGCGCATGCAAAAAAATAAGTTAAATTTGGTATTGGCAAGCCCTATCTTCTGAAACTTCTCCACGTGCGGTCCAGTATGGCAATATCATTGCTAATAGCAACCGCTGCAGGCCCCGCTGACCCGGGGCGCCCGCCAGGATCCTTCGCTGACACAGGCTAAGACAGGGCCGCGCACAAGTGCGGGACAGGACCGGGCGCTGGCACGCGTCCAGCCAGAACCGTGCGCTGGCACGCGTCCACGCAGGGCCCTGTGCTGGCACGCGTCCGCATAGGACTGCACGCTAGCCTTCGACTGCCAGCGCCCGGCCTTCGCTGGGAAACGCCTCTGGAAGCTGGGTCCTGGCCCTGCCAGCCTGAGCCGACAAGCGCAGGGTAACAGTCAAGTCAGCGAAACAAGTCGAGGCAAGGTTCGGCGCAACAGAACCTGTCGCCCAGCTGCTGGTTAGTGAAATGAATGGGTTCGATCTTTGCCAAACCACTGATTTAAATCAGAAATATATTTCAGAGATCGCAACTGCATCTTAGAAACGCGCACCACTTTCAGATGACGGGTGCAACAGCGTAGGACGTTTACAGGCAGTAACCGCTGGACTGGGCACGCCTTTAGTGAAAAAGTACTGTCGGGGTTATACCTCCGCAAAGATCGTAAATATCGCTGGAAATATTTGTCGGCAGGTGGTCCAGTTTTTTACTGGGCCCGGGCGAGAGCGCCGGTCATTGCCAACTGTGTGCCTTTGACTTGGTCAGTCAGGGCAGGCATACGACCAATGGGCGGGAGTCATGCTATGTCAGACATGGTAACCATACATACGCACGCACGCACGCACGCACCCACACCCACCCGCACACACCCACCCACCCACACCCACCCCCACACCCACACACACACCAGGCTGAGTTAAAAGACAGCATTGCGGTCATCAAGAAAATGTTTATTTCCTGTCCGGTATGGCAAGGATCACTTTTCATAAGGGGTGACAAGTCCTGATGTGGGCGAATTTTCCAGCTAAACGCGATTAAACCGAAACACCAACGGTCATAAAAAAACGGGACGAGCGGCTTGAGGCCGACAGAAATGCATGCGCAGAGGGAGCAGCGGTGCATGTGCATGTGCAAGCCATCATGATCCATTCAACGAGACTTTAAAGAGTGCAGAACATGAGCAGCACCCTATTGGGATTACAACTGATCATCACGAAACTGGAACAGCGCGGGACAGTCGCGTATTAGTACTAAAACAGAACTGCAGCTGAAACGGCACAGCAAAGCACCGTAGTAGTACACAAACAGATTACTGGGGAACTGAAGCAACACAGCACACCAGTCAAGGCGCATGACGTGGCAGTGCCATTGCTCCGTTAGTTATCACACACAAAGAAACATTCGGCCGCTGACGGTTCGCTGAGGCCCCTGGGGGCGCCGGACCGCGTCACGTGACGTCGTAGCGCGTGACGTCGTCGCGCCGCGGCTGCGCCGGGTCGCCGTACTCAAGCACCACCGTCTCGCCGCTGTCCAGCTGGCCGGCCGCCAGCTGCTCGACGGGCGTGTCCATGGCGGCGCTCACCAGGCCGCCGTCGGGGCGCCGGTACAGCAGCAGCCGGCGGCCGCCGCTCCGGTCGTTCTCATTGGCGGCGCCGCACAGGTCGGCCAGCGCGTCGACCACGCGGCCGAGCGTCCAACGGCGGCTGACGAACACGGGCCGCGCCACGCCGCGGCCGCCCGGCGCGAGCGCCAGCAGGTAGAGCCGGTCGGCCAGCGGCACAGCGCTGTCGCCGGCGGCGCGCTGCTTTAGCCGCATCAGCTGCACCTGCGCGGCCGTGCGGCGAGCGCGGTCCGAGCCGCGGCCGGCGCTCACGACCGGCGGCTGCGCCAGCCGCGCCGCCTGCAACGCCGCGGCCCGCTCAGCCGCCGGCTGCAGGCACGCCGCCTCCTCCTGACGCGCTCGCCACGGCGGGCAGTCGTGCTCGGCCTCGTGACGGTGCGTCAGGCAGCAGGGTCGCTGGCAGCCTGGGCAGGTGACCGGCGTCAGTTCGGCGGCCGTGCAGCCCGCCACGTGACAGCCGTACACCCGCGTGCTGGCAGTCAGGTCCGCCTGGCAACGGAAACATCGCTCGGGTCAAGTGATCGCGATAGCCGGCAGGTGGACCCGGTAACAGACGGGGCAATACGGGGCGGTAACAGACGCTGACGAGCAAGCTCGCTAGCAACACGTGTCAGAAAAAGCAGGCGCACCGATAAGAGAGGATGCTCATTATCAGATACCAAACGACGTTTCATAAGGTCAAAGGTTTTCACGACGTTTCATAACGTCAAATGTGTGTTTAACTCTTTAAATGTTGATGAGGTATGAAATCTGTCACGCCTGGTCAGTGCAAACAAATTCACAAGCATAAGTAGCACGTTTGGAGTTGTTTTGCGACGCATGTAACTGCTAGTCACCAGCAACGAATATTTCACGCCGGCAGTAGCCAGGGACGCTCAAAACACAGCTGGTTGTACCCCCCCCCCCCCCCCCCCCCCGACCATACCGCGGCTGCGCGTCAAGCAACGTTTCACTGAGCAAAGACGGTGTGCGCACGACGCCCATTCACAACGCGGCTGTATAAAAGCTATTGTTCAGTCGGACAGACGAGCTAATACCTCTCCCGCCACGGACTGGTGATCCCCTGAGCAGAATCAGCTGTAAATCACCTTCCATCTGGCTTTACTCACACGGTCTGTTAGCCTAGCCTCAGCTTTTTACCGGGGGACACATCTATGGACACATCTATTTTGCCTGGGCACACATCTATGGACACATCTATAGATACATCGATAGTCCTCGTCCCTGTGTCTCTGTGTTAATCCCTGTATCTCTGTGCTTCTCTCTGTACCTGTGGTTCTCTCTGTATCTCCACGTACCTCTCTGTATCTCTGTCTCTGTCTGTCTCTGTCCGGTCGGAAATATCACTGACCTCGGCCGGCTGGGGCGCCTTGTCGCAGCTGTGGACGTCGGCAGCGACATGGTGTCGACAGAAGGTGACCTGGCAGTGGGCGCAGACGAGCGGCAAGAAGTCGAGTTGGCGGCAGGCGGCCAGGCCGCAGTGCCGTCCCAGCTCCGGTAGCTCAGCCATCTGGCGCGACGGCCCGCGGAGCGTCACACTGGCGCCGGCCGCTCACTGCCAGCGCGCGTACAGACACCGTCCCAGCTGCGCACCGGACCTGGGCTGCACCGGCGCGGTGACGCATCACACGCTGCCTGGCTCTTGCCACCGAAATGTGTGAAATCCGGAATTCGGATATCTAGTGAATAGTGACCCACATGGATTCTTCGGTAGAAACACAACAAAATGGTTCGACCCTTGCATGCGCACAAGACATTCCAAATGTGACCAAACACAGCCATTGCGCAACCAAGATTTTGTAGCAAGCGGGCGATTGTGTAAGACACCATCGACACCTATATAGCACGGCCTCCGAGGAACCTTTCGGAGAGGGCGCCACTGGGTGACACAGTTCTCACGGCCACCACACATGTTTGATGAGAGGAGAGCACGCCACATCGGCGGCTGCGCAACAAATCACTGTTACCCTGGACCATTGACGACACCTGAGTTTCGACAAGCTCTCTCAAGTAAGTAAGACAAGCAAAGTGCGGTCGGGTGCCTGCCAGGTGGCTCTGCTGGACACCAGGATCGACGCCAGGTGCCGTGTCACCCACCAGCGCGCGCGCCTCAGTCGGTCGGCTGGCGCTGCTCGGCGAGCCGCTGCAGCGATAGGTCGGTCCAGCTGTGCTCCTGCTGGCGCAGACTCTCCACGGCGCCGCTGTTGTCCGGCTCTGGGTCAGGCAGCTCGTACAGTGGCACGGCGATCTCCTCCTCAGGCAGCGTGTCCCGCCGCCACGCCTCGTCGACGATGTCGATCAGACGGCCCTCCAGCGGCGCCTGGCTGTCCATCCTGGGAGGCAGGCCTTTATATAAGTGAAGTTGATCAAACCGCCTCTCTCCCCCCCCCCCCCCCCCCCCCCCCCAGCAGCACCCGGCTGTCCGTTCTCAGGCAGGCACACAACATGAGAGGTGAGGCCCAACAAATGGTCCTGTTCCAGTTCAGAGTATGGGGCAGTACAGCATGGCAGCACTGGGCAGTAGTAGGGTAGTAGCATGGGTTAGCAGCAGTGGTGGTGTTCCAATGTGGGACTGGGGTGCAAATTTTTTGTCTAATAATCATTAAGCAGCACTTTAAGATAGCCACTGGCCACCATTGCATGGTGAGCCACCAGCCAGTGAAACATAGCAGATCTTGACATGATCCTGTTGAGAGAGGGCTGGTGCAAGACTGCTTTGGGGCAGTTTCTACCAGTTTTGTGGGCACAACTTCATGAATTGGAGTTGCTGCAGGGGTGCAGCCAAAGGGAGGCATGGGATCATGGGCCCAGTCAAGCCCATAGGCTCTGAGTAGGCCCATGGCTGTCTGAACACACTGTTTTTTACACACAATGCAACAAAGTCAGACATATTTGAGCTTCCAGGCAACTGCAAGTGAAAGTCAAGGGCCCATGGGTGTACAAAAAGTATACTTGATTGATTGGCAGGGCAGTGATTTGGAGGATTTCAGCCTGCTTACAATGTCCAGGGGCCCTACACTTTCCGGGGGCCCTATATGTCTAGTTGCGGAGCCAGCCTGATTGTTAAGGAGCCTTTTATGCTGCTCTTGATTTCTTTGCATTTGCTCAGAGGGGTATTAATTTGTTATTGGCACATCCTATGCTCTTGTCACTCATGCATTACATTTGCATCCATTTCATAAAATGCATTTTAATGCAATGATACTTTGTGCTTACTCATAACAAAGCAAAAACACTGTATTGGTCATCAGCCATCAGCTGATCACACTGACCAGCCAGCAGTCTAAATATGCTTCAAGTCAAGTTTGTGCCTAATTTTAATGGTATTTAGCATTGAAATTAAGTTATTTTTCAGTTTTTTTCAAGAAACCTTGTCTCAGAATAATAGTATTCACCATGATCTGGAGAAAATGAACACACTCCATGCATGTGTGTACATGGCATGCCTATCTCTCTAGGGATGCACACAGTAAGATGGGTTTCCATATGCAAATAGCATATTAAGTCTTACAATTTGATTGCCTTACTTTAAGGATATTTGGGGGCCTCAACGCTGAAGGGTACCACAGTGTTGTGCATCCCCCTCCCCTTTACAAAATCCTGGTTCTACCTCTAGGCAGCTGATATCATTTGGGAGTAGCTCACACTACCCTGTGACAAACTGAACTGGGGTGCATGCTGCACAGGAGTCAGAATGGCAAAGTGCATCAGAATCTGTTATAAAAACAAAATAGCAGTAATCCATCCAGATACCAGCAAGAAAACCCTGGCACCAGATGTACCGTATTTGTGTGGACATCATCAATACATAACTTATTAAGGGCATTTGTGAGGAGTATCATACCTATACATAAAACAGTGTACTAACAGTCTTATGGCTTGTAGAATAACCAGGAGAATACACATATCGATAGATTGATATATTAACATGTTCATCATATATATATATATATATATATATATATATATATATATATATATATATATATATGTATATGTGTGTGTGTGTGTGCATGTGTGTTCATTCTGATCATTCTATAAGGAAACCTTGATCCTTATTTCACTCCATTTCACCCTTGTTTCTTGTTCCTGTTAGCACCATTTGAGCAGCATCATGGTGCATAAGCCACAGCTGTATTAACCTGTCTGATCCCACATGCAGCTCCTCCCAATCCACAGTAGCCAGCAATCCATAAATGATGGACAACTTGATTAGAAACTGTGAGTGTGCACACCTGAGTTTATAGCACCTGTTGTTAGTGCAGAACAGGCAAAACAGCTGTCAACAACTACATGGCACACCGGCTGAGCCAGGCAGGGTCCTGGCCTTCCAGTTCAGAGTCATCATCAGCTTGTGAAGTGTTTGAGGCTAGTTCATAAGTTGTAGCACACAGGTGTATGCCTCGCACTCAAGAAAACGGTCGACATCAGCCAAACTTAGCAGGCAAACCATACAATATTGTTACCAGTACATTCTCCAGACATTTTTTATTCCTTTGACACCTTCAGATAGCTCTATTTCCCATCTGATGTCAATACATGGTGATTTCCCTCACATCTATCATCCGCCGCCCACACAGCCACACCGACCACAGCCCCAGCGACGCTTAAATCGGCAGCACAGCCGACAGCTGATTGTGGGAATTTTGCTAACGCTTACGGCTGATCGTACCATGACGTCACAAAACAACAGAATAACTGCTAAACTGTCGACAATTCCGTAATGGACCGCATGTGTGTAACGGGGGATCTGGAGAGCAAGTTACGGCGCCGTGGTCGTTCTTGTGGCCCCAAGGGCCCCCACAGGCTCGGAAAGGGCCAATAGCCGGCAGAACGGAAGTATATTATTGCACAAAACGCAACTAAAGCGGACATGGTTGGGCTTCCAGGCGACCAAGAACAGTAGCAAGCAAGGGTGGAACTCTTTATGTCTTTGGGGTCGTGCCCCCTTCCAATTTTGAGCTGGGGCCGCCCCAATGCTGGGCTGGTTGCAGTAGCGCTGGCAGGAGGGGGGGGGGGGGGGCACAGTGGGTACGTGCGCCCCTTTGGTTCCGAAGAGCCCGAAGGCCCCTCGGAACCTAAGATTAGGGGTCCGGAAAGCCAGCCAGAGATATCATCCAGGGGCCCGGCCCGCAGTACTAGGCACTCAAATGCCAGCCAGAGAGCCATGTGCACTGATCAGGGGCCCACTGAGCCGATAAGGGCCTATATTTCGGTCAGACACCACGAGTAACACACAGTCGGCTGCGTGGCGGCGTGGGCCTGAGGGCCCATTTCCCAAGCAGGGTCAAAGCCGGGACCAACGATTTACATTGTTCAGGGCTCCATAGCGCCCAACAAGGGCCATATGTTGCCAAGGGGCCCCGTGCCGACCGGAGGCAGTGTTTGTGGAGGCCCGAAGAGCATAGAGGGTCCCCGGGTCCGACGATCAAGCGCCCGATTGGAGGGTCTAAGGACATAAATGACTTGTCGGAGTCTTATTCAGGGGCCCAGACCTGCGAGTACGGACGCTCAAATAACGGCCAGAGGGTCATTTGTGCCAACCAGGGGCCCCCTGAGTCGATATAGGTCTACGTGTCGGTCAGGTACCACCCGTGCCACACAGGGGCATCCGTGTCTGTATGGGTCTGAGGGCACACTTCCCAATTAGCTACAAAACCAGGGCAATGATTTACACTGGCCGCAGGCCTTTTATCTGTCAGGGGTCCACGGCGCCTAACAGAGGGTTCTGTGCTCGCGAGGACCCCGAACCGACCAAGGGAAGTATTCGATCGGGCCCGAAGAGGGGCCCGGGCGGCACACCGGAGCCGACGATCAAAGGCCCGGTTGGAGGGCATAAGAGCCCGAGGGACTGGCTGTAGGTGACATAAAGAATTGCGGCGCGTAGGGTCACGACCCGAAATATCACTTAGAGGTCTTCTTGCACCGTTTTAGGAACTCCTGAGACAATGCGGGTGTCTAAGTCGGTCAGAGACCACGAACACCGAACAGTCGGCTCCATGTCCGTCTGAGCCCTGGACACCCATTTCCCAAGCAGACACGAGGCCGGGGTCAGCGATTCGCAATATTCAGGGTCCCTGACACAATGAGGGCTGCTAGGTCGGTTGGGGACTACAGTGCCAAACAGGGCATTCTGGGTCAACAAGGGGCCTCGAATCGGTCAGAGGAGGATTCGCTCATTTGGGACGGGGACGGGAGCCCGAACGGCAGAGGGTATCTGCGTTGGTCGGGGACCTCTGGCAACTGAATGAAACAAAAACTTATGGGGAGTGCTCATATTGAGGAACTAGAGAAGTCCTGTGCCAGTCAGGGCCCCCAGTGTCTAACGGTGAACCCCCCCCCCCCAACGTTTTTCCAGCATGGGCCCGTTAAGTCCAACTGGAGTCCATGTTTAAATTATTTCGTCACCAGCGGTGAGCAGAGATGTTGTTGCGTTAATGATGATTCATGCGTCGATCCAGAGTCAACTGCGCGAATCAGAAGGCCTCTCGTGACAGGGAGAGGTGCAAT